TCAAAGCCAGGGTGGGAGCTGTCTTTGGTGATGGCTTTAGCTCTGCTGAGGCAGCGAAGTCTGTGCTGCTCAGTAATTGTTTATTAGTGGCTGTTCTGGAGAATTTAATTAACATTATATGATCTTTAATTCATCTAAAGCGTTGCTTCTTAACATTTTCTCTTATTAAGGGACTATTTTTCTAAAATTCAGTAAACTGGCGACCCCTAAATGAGTGACATATTAAATGGAAATGTCATATTATATTAAATGCACAACAATAACAAACTGTAACACAATAACTGCAGGAAGTTTGTGTAAAAAGAGCAATTTGGTATTTTAATTAACTTTTTATACAAGTCTGACAAATTCTGTCTGTATTATTTATTTATTCTTACAATCATACATACTTAATATGCTTCTTTTTTTGATAAATTCATTTTTTACTTTTTTTACACTTGGCTATTGTTATTATTATTATTGCTATTAGCTCTTTGGTTGTCTTAACAGCGTACTTATCTAAAGCAGATGAGTCTGTTTATCAGAGAATTAAGTGGTTTCAGACTTCTTTCCCCGAAGAGACACCTTTTTTTATCTTTTAGTAAACAGATGAACCCTGACTAAGCGACATATTGTAAGGATATTTCATATTATATTCAAAACTGTAAATGAGCTCAAATAGTGAATTCAGTAACAGCAAATATTTGTGTAAAAGGAGCAGATTATTTCCTGTTCTGAGACCTTTTTATACAGTTTTCTGTTTGTATTAAAAACATTTTTTAATCATTTGTAACAATCACACAGACTTATTATGCATCTTTTTTGACAAATTCAGTGTTTTCTTGTCCCTGGCGTTTGGCCATTGTTCTTATAGACAATTACTTTACTTTACATTCACTTTTCTTCACAGGAGTGAACCAAATCCTACAGCTTCACTACCCCCTGTGAGGCTTTGTCGACCCCTGGTGGGGGTCCCGATCCCAGGTTGGGGAGTAGATTATGTGTTCAGTTATGACTGAAAGTTCCACAACAGCTACTAATTGCACCTTGTGATGGGATTTTGCTTCCCGACTGCTGTTTCCAGCTGTTTCCTGTAGCTGTTCCTACACTGTTACTACCAGTGGGGAAAGTATTCAGATGTTGAGCATGAAAGCTCATTTCTGGCCTTGGAAAGAGCAGCTTGATCCAGACACAGACAAAATAAAACATCTTAACTCAAGGTCCGATTGCTAGTTTCCTCTGCATCTCTTAATCAATCTGAACTGAACTGAAGGGAAAAAGTGAACAAACTCAACAAAAACTAGGAAAACAAAAGGGAGAACATTCAACTGAATGCTTAAAAAAAGGTAGTAAGTGGAGCTTGAGTTAAGATATAGTATTTAGATCCTCCCCATAACAGTAAAATAAAATAATAGCCTGCTTTAAGTATCAAAAGGTGTACTTACACAACAGAATGACCTCAAATAAAGTCAAATTCACTGATGCTTTATTGTGTTAGCAGCATTTTATAACGCACCAAATTTTAACTACACTTATACTCACATATAAACCTTGTCACCTTGCATCATTTTTATTGCAACTTTCTATTATGTCTATAAATACTGCATACATCATGTTTAAACACTGATTTATGCGTTTATTTTAAACATACATTGCTTTCCACTGCACTCTGGTTTGATGCACACGTGTACTTCAGATGTTTAATGTTTTAGTCTCGATGCTTTTATGTTCTTTGATGTTTTTCCAGTTTATATTTTCTGCTCTTACAGAAACATTATTTCTTATTTCTAAAAAATAAGCATGACACTTTATATACTATGGGATAGTTTAATCTAGAGCAAAAACATATTTTCTAAACTGATCATAGTTTTGAAATGTAAAATCTTTAAACTGCAATGTAAGTAGTTGCTATAGTTGACTAATAATTACATAAGATAGCATAAAATATAAAATACTCAAGTACAAGTATCTCAAAATAGCATATGTACCTAATATTATATCAGTCACTAGCACTCATGTAAAAGCAATGAGGGTTAATAATCCACAACAACTACAAAAAAATGCATTATATCATTATTTTATTTCATATATTTACAAAAACAAAACAAAATAGTGTCAAATCACTGGTTGCATTTTTTTTTAACGGTGCTCTGGGCATGTTGACATCGGCCCTGAGAGTTGAATAGATTGAACCCAACCCCTCCCCATCTGGATGAAAACCACAGGCCTCAATGGGCCTCTACGGCAGCCTCCCCTCAGCTGTGTTTGGAGTAAATCTGATCTCTTTTCAGTGCACGGCTGACTGAATCCTTTCACAGCACCCCTTTATTATACAGTTATTGATGAGCTGATGGTCGTGTGACTTCTAGACCTCTCTCCGTGGTCACAGTGGTAAAATTTGTCAGCTGGCAATAGCAGCGGGCGAACAGTATCCGCTGGAATAAACAAACCCACCAACCACAGCCAAAATGTGCCAACATCAGGCTGTTGACGTCTCACTCTACAGTGCATCTGCGTGATTTATAGACATGTTTTGTCTCTCGCTTAAACATGTGATGTTTAGCACTCTTCCCTTCACCTTATTCCGGAGAGAACATAATGTACTTTTAATGGCGGGTACAGGATATACATACATGTTATCACTCGCGAAAGTGTTTTTTCTTTCCTAGCAAAGGGACTCCCCGTACCAAAAGAAAGCATCACTCTGCACATTACAAAACACTGGGAATCACAGGGGAAGCACTTTGCACAGTAACTCTACACTATAATGATCACTGTAACCACAGCAAAGGCATCCGGGAATCAACATCTCAATCACTTCAAATAAACACCTGGTAAAGTAGGGGGGGGGGGCAACACTCGGGGGAATTAGTCGTGTTAAATTAGCTGGCTGAATTACAGTAGGTGCTGGGAACTTCTCATAAAGTGTTCAATCAATCCTCTCTAGTCTTTTTAATTCTTTAAATAATTAACAAATGTACACTCTTTTTTTTTCCAGTTTCCTTACGTTAATAGGCAGTTAACTCGTTAATGTAAATCCTGCACAGCCAGAGACGTGTGTGTTAATAAAGTCCCAAATAATGATCACTAACTTGGTGCAAACCGGGGATGATATTGCAAATTCACACCGTTTTAAAACTATAACCGTAAGTGCTTAGCTGAACGAAAAATCTTTACCTTGTGAGAAGGTCTAAAATAATAACTTAAAAGTAATTTTTGCAAAAAGGCACTGTTTATACCCGTGAAGTGGTTGGATAGGTTTTACCATGAGGCTAAACAGCGTTGTGAAAACAACATGGAGAACGGCAGTGGTATTTTCTTTTTTAAAGGAATGCTGATAAAACTAAACTGTGAAGGAGCTATGGGAACCGTTGACGAAGCAATGCAGAGATGTTCAAATGTTCTCAGTCGTGCGTTTGGTGATTTTAGACAGAAGAGAGTGTCACATGTGTGGTTCCTGTTGGTTTTCGTGCCTCCTTCTGTTGTTTCTGCATCCACACACACCTTCTACCTGACGGAGAACAGTGTTGGCGGTCCGGTCCCCCTCCTGTCTGACCTTTGCTTCACACTCCTTCACTCCCTGCCTCTCGCTGATGCACACACACAGAGAGAGAGACCCCTCTGGCTGCAGTGCTTCTGATGGACCGCACTGCTACTTTATCACATGATGGAGCACTGCTCTGCCGCCCCGGCACCGGGGCCTCCTGGGAGGTTGAGGGACTCTATGTCAAAGTTAAAGCCTGGAGGCTGGATGGGAAGAAGAGGAAGAACACCGTTATTATTAAGCTGCAGTTGGGTGACATGACGCTATATGTTGAGAAACTACTATTTTACTACGATTTTTCCATATTGTTTATACAGTAGAAGCTGTCTCTATAGTATCTCTGGGTGTATTAAGCTATCAAGAGCAATATGTTAAATAATGACACTAGCTGATATTGGATGATTTTTGAACCAATATAATAAAACACTTTTGTTAAATTAGGTTTTTAATTTGGTTCATAGCATATAGAAATGTATGCCTGGTTATTTTATTCATTATTTTTGTGCACATGCTGTTTGTTAACTGAGAGCAGTGGAAGACTTACCGCATCACCTGCTAGCTCTTTGGGTGGTTGGCCAAGGTCTTGCAGCTGTAAGTAGAAGCATTATAATCTGTGATTAGTTTTATTCTTAACAAGTCCGTTATTGCCATTAAACTTAGTAATATAACAGTTTATAAGTTACGCTGTCCCCTACCAGTGTTACCGTATGAGAGTTCCTCTTGCAGTAGTAGCTATTTGATGATATCTGCATTATGTAAGCACTTTATCAGGCGCAGTTATCATTGGATTGATTCACAATCCAAATACTCAAGAAGCACGAGGTAACAAACCAACAAACAGATTGACTGACTTCTTTTTCTTAATTTAATTTGCAATTATTCAATGACAAAGTCCAGTGCAGAGTGTTTCTACCTTTTGCATCAGGTCCATGATGCTCTCGAACGTGCTGTCTTTATCTTCTGCCCCCTGTTCCTCCCTCTCAAAGTGCTTACAGATCTCTCCCATAATTTTGGCCTGCTGTTCATAGCGCTGGTAGTCCTCCTGGCTGAGGCTCGGCTTGTTGGCATCCAACCATTCCGGGTACTGTGAGGGTGAGTGACATTTATCATAATCAAACTGGGCAGCTGAAATAGAGACTGTTGAGACGGCTAGTAAAACCGATGCACACCTTAGCAGTGATCTCTTTGAGAGACGGATAAAGCACTTCCTTAGAGAGAAGGTTCTGCATGATGGACTGCATGATGGGCAGGATGTTTCCATCATCGCTACCACCGCCCCCTTCGCCGCCCTCTTCCAATCCCAGGCCTTCTAGAGCCTTGACAAGGTCGTCTCCAGCTAGTCCTGTGGACTGTAGCAGAATAATACAGATAGTCAGTAAACCGTTCTATGTTTGCATGACTGTAAACGCATTCAAAGCAATTGCTTCTTCCTAAGTCCTGTCCCCTTTTTTGCTCTGTGCTCCAATAACAGTTGAGCAAGTCTTGGTCAGCTTTCTCCTGTACTTAAACATGCCATGTGCTAGGCTCACCTATGCTGAAAACATAACCACTTTTGGAAGATGGTTAAAAAGTAAAAGCGACATATATACATAGTTACATCTTAAGTTATATCATTTTAACCAGAAGCTAGACGATCTACATCTAAACATTTCACTTTTATCTTTTAACCATCTTAATAATTTGGTGACTTTTCAACATAGATGAGCCTAGCACATAGCAAGTACAGGACAGTAGAAAGTTGACCGAGGTTCCAGGTCAATTGATCGATTCTAATTTTACCCACCTGCAGGTTGTCTGCATTTTTAGCCAGGCCCCGGAGGGTTTCTTTAAGACATGAGGTGAATTCTTGTTGGGAGGCGGTGTCCGTGCCTATACAGAACAACACAGACAACATTTAGGCTACAGGAACAAAACGGTAAGCAGAGGAACATAATAAAACCACAGATAATGCCAATTAGTAGACCTTACCGACTTTGCCTGCAGCCTCTGACAGTTTTTGGAAGTGCTGCAGTAATTCTGGCTCCTCCTGAGCCAGCTCAGTCATGGCCTTCTCCCATTCCTCCTTAGCTTGGGTAGCCATGTCCCCCTCGAAGAGAGTCTCAAAGAGTTTGCAGTCTTCAAGCAGAGGTGGCTACATAGGTAAAGAGAACACATTTAAAGTGGCTTTTAGACACCGTAGGGGAGCTGTGACTGTGAGCGCTAAATGGCATCAAGCCTGCTTTTAGTGGATGCTTTTAAAGTGTGTTCTTTTTGTACTATACGCCCTCTTTGTTGCTACACCTTGAAACTGTACTGGCTGTAATGAACAGTGTCAAAAACAAGACAATTCTTGTTCCAGTTTTGGTTGCTTGGCCATAGTTACTACCCCAAAAACAGTCAGTGCAACTGAGAGAATGTTTTGTTGGGCAGTGAACATTTGGGGTGGGGTCTGAGCTTTGCAAGCTTTGCAGTTTACACACAACAGCAGCAAAGGGTAAACGAGTTACACAACTAAGAAAATAGAGGAAAGGTCAGGGTTTAAAAATAGACAAACACAAATACGTTCTTTCAGAGTTATAGTGACTTGAAATAATAATAAACTTCCCCCCCCTTTAATCAATCTTGGTATAGTCTGTGCTCATTTTCCCTGCTGGTAGACACTCACGACAAAACCCCCAAAAACGTCAAACTGCAATACGCAAACTTTTCAAGCAGCCACCAGGTTTGTAATTCAGTGAGGAGACAATATCCAGTTAAATAAAAGGTGGAGGATGTTACCGGCTACATGCTACATGTGTGCATATGTAACAAAATAAGATGTGATTGCTGTAAATGCACCACTGCTACACAAACTATAAGGAACCGACCTTCTCTGCCCCACTGTTAGCTGAGGAGGAAGCAGCTGCAGGTTCAGGGGCAGGAGGAGCCGATGTCTTGTCGAAGTCATCCAACGCACCTGAAAGGAAGGAATGAGATCAGAACAATGCCAGTGGACATTTAAAGACAACACAAGTGCTAGAATTTAACCAACTTCAACTTCTTCTTGTATCAGTTCAAACCGCAGCTGCAGAAAAGGAATAAAGTGCACATCAAATGACTACAAAAAGCTAACCCTAACGATTATTCTGTGTCCCAAAGCTCAACATTAAACCTTTATATATATATTGTATTTCCTCACTATTAATACTATGTAAAGCATCTTCTTCGGGGCAAACCAATGGATGTTTTAAACTCTTTCAGAACTATAAAAAATGACTCCTAACTATATTATTATGAATTAAGATAGAACTACAGCTCTGAGTTTGATTCAATATTAACATATTAAGTAAAATACTGATGATTTATGAACTTTAGGTACACCTCGCTAAGACTAATGCAGTCTAATACAACAAGTCCTGCATAACTCCTACCCTTGTAAAGGTTTTACTGTGATATAAATGGATTGACTTCTCATTATAACACGAGGGGGCTCGCAAAGCCTTCTTGATTTTAAGCGGTGTAAGAAAATATAAAACATCCAAAGAGCCGACAGAACAGTGGGCAAGTGTGAGGGAACAAGAAAACACTGAATTAGTCAAAATCACTACTTTTACATTAACTTCCTGCAGTCATTCACTACTCGGGTTCATTGCACAGATTATTATGCATCGAATATAACCCATAAAATGTGTCACAATGTCGGGTCGTCAGCTTTAAGGAGTCCCTTTAAAGGTCCAGTGCGGAGGATTTAGTGGCGTCTAAAGGTGTAGCTGCAGGTCGCAACTCACCCTCGCTACATCCTCCACTTCCAAGTGTGAAGGAGAAACTACGGTGGCTGCAAGACGCGTAAACAACAGGAGTGACCCAATCTAGAGCCTGTGTTCGGTTTGTCCGTTCTGGGCTACTGTAGAAACATGTCAGTTTAATATGGAGGCCTCTGTAGAAGAGGACCCGCTCTCTCTGTAGGTAAAAAGTGCTTATTCTAAGGTAACAAACACACAACAATTCTCATTTTAAAGTGATTATACTCTAATGAAAACCCACCTGTAAATATTACTTGTTATATTATTACACTTCTGCCAATAAATCCTCCTAAATGTAAATTGTAACCTTCATAAAGATCAGATTTATTTACAGGGTTGTTGTATTAGACTCCATTAGTGTTAGATTAGCTGTATATGTGTAACATATTTACACATTAACTGAACCAAAAAGGCATTTACACAGAGAGAGACAACAATCACTGACTGACAGCTCAGCCGCCATGTTAAGTCATCAGGTTTTCATTATCGACAACTGCCTTTCAATTAACACACACACACACACACACACACAGTACACACACACACACACAGACACACACACAGACACACACTAACTAACACACAAACACACACACAGACACACCACACTACAGACACAACACACACTAACAGACACACACAAACACGGACGTACACACTAAACAGACACACACATCACACAAACACACACAAAAAAAACACAAAACCACACACAAACACACACAAAAACAAACACAACACACACACCACACACACACACCACCACACACAAAACACACAAACCACACACACAACAGACACACACACACAACACACACACACACACACCACACACACACACACACAGTGTTAGTTAAACAAAACATTAGCAACGTTAAACAGTTTAGACGAAAGAGGACAGGGGGGCGGAGGACGGAGGGGGCGGAGGACCGAGGGGGGGGGTCCTGTGCTTGAACCGCAGCCGGCTCAAACACCCGATCCTCGGGGAAGAGAGTTGCAGGAGAGAGCCGCTGTAAACACCCACTCCCTTACTGGTCCAACAACTCGTCAGTTCTTGCATCCGTGTCCGGTGCACGGCCTTCTGATCCGGACGCCATGATGTTACCCTTCTCCCAACACCAAAAACCCACCCAGCGGTCTCCGGAAAATGACGTTTCTCGCGGAAACGACCACGTCACGACGACAGACCGGAGGTGCGATCTGGCGCCACCCTGGTGGTAGAGAGTGACAACACCACCAGAGCGAGAAAACAGGAGGCAACACAGGCTCATCATCCAGTCACCAAACAGGTTTAGACTCCTAGGAATGATTTATACAGCTGCTGATAGCTTAGATGTTGTGGTTTGAGGTTGATTGTTGTTGTTTAGGGTACTCGCGTCCAATTTTGGGCAAGCAAAAAGTCAGATTTTATCATTTGATTTTTGGCCTAATCCAAACATCTACTCTACTCTACTCCAACTATAGACTAGATAGATAGATAGATAGATAGATAGATAAGATAGAGATAGATAGATAGATAGATAGATAGATAGATAGATAGATAGATAGATAAGGAGTAGTTGCACATGAATAGAAGAATATTGAATCATGATATGGTATTGCACGTAATTATTGCACATTTTTATTGTTCAAAATATCTATATCCTTCTTACTTATTAGAGTTTAGAGAGCATTTTCATGGCTTACAGGAGTTTTATATAGGCTTAATTAAAACAACCATCCAGGAATTGGTAATATTTACTCAATTGAGATACTTTACTTGAATATTTACTGAAAATTTAAATTTATACTTCATAAATTCACAGGAAAATAGTAAAATAAAAGAAAAAATAAATCCTTTTTACAGTGGTCCTGTTAATTGCCTCAAATACAAACCAAGGGGAATAAAGTACGATTTATTTACTCAAGTACTGGTACTTAAGTAACAATTTGAGGTACTTTACTTGAAGTATTTAAATGTTTCTGCTAGCTTTCTCTAGTGTCAATACTGAAATATTGTACCTTTTAACTCTTTTTCTTACTTAATTGGCAGGCGCGGGTGGTCAAGAATTAATAATACAACATATAATCAACTAATAATTACTTGGTAAACTACCAGTAATCAGTTGAAAATGTTGCAGCTGCGCAAAATAAAATACTACATAATAAGTGCTTTTTAACTTTTGGTAGTTTTTTTTTTGGTTAAGTACATTTTAATAATAATACTAACATTTTAAAAGCAGGATTTTTGCCTTGTAATCAACATTCTTACACTAATGGTGATCTGCTGCGTTGTTTACTTAAGTAGAAATAAAGTAATGAAAATACATAAAATTAAGCCTTATTTAACAACGTTATTTTTTTCCCCTGTGATAAAGTATTAACTGACAAATAGAACAGAATAACATGAAGCCTATATCCCTTTTACCACACAAACACAAACTACACACAAGAGAGTGGCGGTCCTTCCAGGTACAGCCCTCCTATGACTTTTTCAGTAGTGGAATTGAAATGTGATCAATTAATTAAATTAAAGACAATCTCGTAAGAATGTGGCCATGTGACAGCAGATTACTCTTTCTGTCTCTAGGACAGCTTTTTTTTTTTTTCCAGGAAACCGCGTCAAATTTCGTATCCTGGTAAATACACAGTGGTTGTCAGGGTTAAGCTGCGGTTGCTGAGCAACGCACCACCAAATAATCTCCGACTGCGATGGTTCAGACTGGCAGCAATGACAAATATTTAGTATTATCTTCGGCCGTGTCGATAGTACGCTTTAAGTAGGATGATTTAAATAAAGATGACGACAGTTTCATTAGTAATAGTTGATGGATGGGGGGGGGGGGGTTTCCACACGCGAATCAGCCCACTTTCTGTTAAAATGATGCGAATTTACCATTAATCTTTCAGTGAATATTAACTAATGTCTGATATTTTAAGTAATTTTTAAATATTCATAAACCAACCATCAATTTTATGGCATCATCTGGCCCACCGGCTCTATTTTAAAAAGTGTCCTGAGATAACTTCTGTTATGAATTGGCGCTATAACAAATAAATTGAATTGGAATTGAATTTTAACAAAATTTTAAACTATTAAACTAATTGAAAACTTGTGTGTCTCCAATCTCATTGGATGAAAAGAAAATAACTATTGTGCAGTTTTATTTACAATAACAGAGATTAATAGCCTATACAAACTTATTTTACAGAAAAGAAACACACAAAAACATCAATTTAGCTCATTCAGGTTGAGATTTATTAATTTCCCATTGCTTTTCACGAAGGTGCCAGCCAAAAGAAAATGTAGGAAAGTGATCAAGAAATGTAACTTTCAACGAGGGAGTACATTGGGTGTGTTAAACAGCAGGACGAGGAGGAGGAGGGAGGAGGAGGGAGGAGGAGGGGGAGGAGGAGGAAGAGAGTTCAGACAGATGTGAATAACGGTGCAGACATTTGATTCCTAATTTGGTTTGCTGGGCGGGGAGCTGCTCCTCTGAGCTGCTTAGTCAAGTCTGAGAGCTGAGGAGTTGCAATCATACGATTCTCTACCGCTGGATGTCCCGGAGAACCGAGCCTGTCCGCAGTACCATCAAGTATCAGAAAGGTAACCAACTTTTCACACTCACTGATTTCATGTGGGTTTAATATTTAAAAAGTATTTTTATGTGGTAGTTGAGTGAGCTTGCACAAGGAAAATACATTTCAGCTGCAACTTGTTGCATCTTGCTTACCTGCATGCCTCATAGGAAATATGTGATAATATCAGCAGCTAGTGGTTTTTATTTTTTTACTTGTTAGAGCACATTTTGTTTTAAAGAAATTGAGCTTTTATTTTGAAATTTTAAATGAGTTTACAATATAAAAAAAGAGTTGCGAGTAGGAAGAAATCTTATAAATGACATATTTCTCCTTTATTATACTTTTTTGAAAGTAATGTCTACTATAATATTTTTGTGGCGAGAGTCTTTCAGACATTCATGATGTTGTCAAAAATTAACTTTCTATCCAGTTTCCTCTAGAAAAATGTAGTTTTTGAACATATATTTGAGAGTTTTGTGTCAGTTTGTGTTCAGTAGGCTGTGGTGTGGTGTGTGTGGTGGGAGCAGGGTGCGGCAGGCGGCACACCCACCTTCACTGTCAATGAATGAAACCTCTGCAGGAGCCTAACACACAGCTGTCACACTGTGTTATTGGGGGGAGTTTTTCTCTCTTTTTCTATGTTTGTGGCACTGTGTGCGGTACCGAAGACACCAACAA